GTGTAATCTCTGCTTACAAAGACATGTAATCTTTTAAAAAGCAAATGCCAGAGAGATAGGACAGCGGTTAAGGCGCTTGCCTTGCATGTGGCCAGCTCGGGTTTGATCTACAGCACCACACATGGTTCCCCAAGCACTGCCAGGAGTGAGGACTAATTCCTGGGTATTTCCAGGTATGGCCCGAAACACAAAGAATCAAACACCCAGGGGACGCCAAGCCAGGTTAGATCCCAGCATCCTGCATGGTCCCATGAGCACGGCCGGGAATAAATTACTGAGTGCAGTAACACCTGTTACAAGTTGGGGTGCTGGTGATTTTTTTCCTGCCAAAGATTGCCTACCCCCTGGCTTCGACAAGCCTAACATTGCTTTCTGCTTAAGAGGAAGGAAGAAAGCAAGGGAGGGAGGGAGGGAGGAAGGGAGGTTAGTCTGAGTGCTAGGAGAAAAAAGAAGTAATGGGGGAGGGTCAGGGCTGTAGTTCAGTACTAGAGCAGCATGAGGTCTTGAGTTGAATCCCCAGCACCCCTACATGCCTATTGTGAGTCCAGTAGCATGGAACAACCAAATGCAAGCACCTCAACCAAGTAGGCAGTCCCTGGACATCACAACAACAACAACTGCAACGGAGGCAAGAGAAAGACAAAAAAATAAATAAACAAAACCGACTATAGCTTGCCGCCAGCCAAGTGCATCTTGACCCATACATTCATCACTGTATTTTTGGCCTCTCCCCCAGGGACCTGCTGGAAAGTGTGCATGCAATATTTATGCAATAAACAAGTGAGTCACGTGTCACACTGCTTGTCCTCACAACAGCCTTCATCTTCTGAACATTGTTAGCTGACTCCCAGACGGCCTCCTCCCTGCTAGGGGCCCTTGTCCTCTGCTTCAGAGCCAGACTCAGGCCTGGGGAACAGGAGCCTCAGGCCCTCCTCCAGCCAGGGAGACTGTACACTGGAGGAATGCTGGCTGCACAGAGAGCACTTGGGCCTGGGAAATGCTCAGAGGTGAAGCAAGGCTCCCCAGCAGAGCAAACTCATCATGTGTGCACGCCATCTCGAGATCTCTCTGGATCCAGCCCTGGTCCGTCCGTGCTCTGCGCTGGGGCCGACAGCAGGCAAGCCGGGCTTCAGGCCTCATCCTCGCCACCTTCACGACACCTTATTTGCCAGGAGCCCAGAGTCTCAACATAGTTGGTTTGTGAGAAAAGCGAATCAAACTGCCTTTCACAAACAGGCTGGAGTGATAGGACAGCGGGTAGGGTGTTCACCTTGCACGCGGGTTTGATCCCCGGCATCCCTAAGCACCGCCAGGAATAATCCCTGAGCACTGCTGGTTGTGACCCCCCGAAACCAGGGTGATTTTCTGATTTCCATATACAGAAATCTGCCTCTGTGTGGCTTTCAGATCCAGGACTTCTGCCAGGTGCCTGGGGCTTGGTCTTTCTCTGGGGGAGTAGGGGCCCACCTGGCCTTGCTCAGTACACACAAGGCAAGCATCCTTCCCCAGGAGGGGAAACCAGCCTGACTACCCTAAGTGTAGTCAGAACCTTCCTGAGGTATCCTGACAGGCCCTTAGAGGCCTGCAGCACCCAGGCCTGGGTTTCCCTAAAGGCAACAGGCCCCAGGAGGGAGGTGGGGCCAGGTTCCCTTTCTCCAATGTCTTTGAAGAGCCCAGGTTTATTTTATTTTTATTATTATTATTGTCGTTGTTGGGCTGGAGCGATAGCACAGTGGGTAGGGCATTTGCCTTGCATGCGGCCAACCCGGGTTCAATTCCTCTATCCCTCTCGAAGAGCCCGTCAACCTACTGAGAATATCCCGCCCGCACGGCAGAGCCTGACAAGCTCCCTGTGGCATATTCAATATGCCAAAACCAGTAACAACAAGTCTTACAACAGAGACATTACTGGTGCCCGCTCGAGCAAATCGATGAACAACAGGAGGACAGTGCTACAGAAAGTGCTATTGTTGTTGTTTTGTGTTTTGAGGCCACACCTAAATGGTGCTCAGGGCTTACTCCTGACTCTGCACCCAGGAATCACCCTGGAAGACTTAGGGGACTATTTGGGGTGCCAGGGATTGATCCCAGGTCAGCCACATGCAAGGCAAGCACCCTACCTGCTGTACTGTTGCTCTGGCCCGGAGACCCAAGATTTTCTTAGAATGTTCGAGCTGGCAGGGGACCACTGGGACAGAGCCAGGAGTCACCAGGAAAGGGGGACAAGGAACTTTCTTGCATCACTGAGTTAAGGTGGCCACACCTGCCCCAGTTAGTGACAATAAAGAGAGACCCGCTGTGCTGAGGGAAATAAAGTCACAGTGCTTGCAGCAGCCACAAAGACCCAAAGGGAAGCCTTAAGTCAGAAAGAGAACTCAAACGCCTGACTGTGCATTTGCTTTATTTGGTTTGGGGGCCATACCCAGCCGTGTTCAGGGCTTATTCCTGGCTCTGAGCTCAGGGATAACTCCTGGCCGGTCACAAGGTAACTTATGGGATGCTGGGGAATGAACCCAGGTTGGCTGCACGCAACGCAAGCGCCTTACGCACCCTCCTATTGCTCAGGCCCCGCCTATATCTTTTGCACGTGGTAGCCCTGGGTTCAATCCCGAGAACCTTACGTTCGCCATGCACTGCTAGGAGTGACACCCCCCTGCCCCCGCCCCCACCTGGCACTGAGCCAGCCCTCATGCCACAGAAATGCCAAAAGGAGTTGGGGGTGTGGGTGGGGCTGTCTTATTTTTGTTGCATAGTGGCAACTGAGATATGCAGCTCCTCGGTGATACCATGGTCTCTGGGATTCTAAGCTTTGCATGCAGTGGGAGCAGGATGGGATCATGTCCATGGAATTATAGGAAAGAGATGGGTCAGCCACCCCTGCCCTGTCTTTGGGCAGGTCAAAAGCCTTCCGAGGAAACTTGGCCAGCCTCCTCCTCCCACCTTATTGATTAGAACTGAGAAATCCTGTTTCTCTGAACTGCAAGAAAGGCAGGGAAAGGACACACTTAACTCTTCTAGAACATATTGTAGCTGGAGCAAGAGAAAAGGAGGTAAGGAATGACCAGTGGCTCTTTCCTGTAAATGCAACGGGATAATGTCATTCCTTGCAGAGTTTCTTGTAAACGTGACAGGATAATGTCTGGGACCTCCATACAGCCTCATTTTCTGATATTTCCTCTTGGTCCCTGATGTCAAGTCAAAACCTGTCCTTGGGGCTGGAGCGATAGCACAGCGGGTAGGGCATTTGCCTTGCACCTGGCCAGCCTGGGTTCAATTCCCAGCATCCCATTTGGTCCCCCGATCACCACCAGAAGTAATTCCTGAGTGAAGAGCCAGGAGTAACCCCTGTGCATCACCAGGTGTGACCCAAAAAGAAAATTTAAAAAACTGTCCTTGTCATTTCTAGAAGAAGAAAGTGAGAAGGTGGGCAGGAGGGAAAAGGAAACAAAACACACGCATCCAGAATGTTTGTGTTCCAAACCTCAGTCCCCGCTGGAGAAATAGAAAATCCAGAAACAAGCCTCACGTCTTCCGACCTGTATGCAGACAGGAAGAGGAGAGGAACAGAAAGGGTTCGAGAAGTCTCCAAGGACCAGCCCCTGGCTCCAGTTCCTGGGAACTGTGCCAGCTCCAGTGATCTGAGCCTTGAGGAGGGTCCAGAAGAGGCCATAGGAGCAGCCCCGCCAGGAGTGTGGGCACGGGGAGCGAGCCAGGGAGGCAGCACATCAGAGGCCTTCAGGCCAGGCCCGCCCACACTGCCCACACTGCCTGCCGGCCACGTGGAAGGCCACACAGGAATAAGGCTCATTTGCACAAACAGGTGGCAGGGCCAGGCCTCACACAAGCCTCGCATGTGTGAGGCCCTGGGTTCGATCCCTGCAACCACAGGGTCCCCCAAGTGTCCCTCAGTGGAGTCCTCATGATGAAGGGCACCAGCATTTTCCCACCTTATAAAAAATGCAAAGAGGGAAAGGTGTTTGATCATTGTATGACCGAGACAAACCTGAAAGCTTTGTAACTTTTCTCACTGTGATTCAATAAATAAATATAAGGCAAAAAAATAAAAATAAAATAAAATAAAAAATGCAAAGAAAATTCTGCACCATTGAGCATGTGGGCTGAACCTGTGGTCTGGGGCAGAGACGTTGGATTTTCTTCTACCATCCATTTTCCTCTTTATTCTTAGGGGGAAGGGGCCTCCCTAACAGCTAGGCGGGCCATGTTCTGACCATGTGGCAGTGAGGGGCTTCGGGGCTCCACCAGGCACTGTCAGCAAGCTCAAGGGGCCTCACAGTCAGAGATGGAATGGGGGGGGGGGGCGCTCATACATGTGAAGTCTGAGCCTCTGACCTTGAACCATCTCCCAGCTTCCTCCCCTTGCTCCTGAAGAATAAGTGGCGAAAGCACTTGCGTTGCCAGGGAGTGGCCATGGGTTCAATCCCCAGAACCTTCCTAAGCACCATCTTAGTGATTCTTGTTGTCTGGGAGCACTGCGATTCAACAGAGAGGGTGAGCTCTGGGATACCGCAGCCAGGCAAGGATGAGTGCCACGACTTGCCTCCAGGGGTGCCACGGCTGAAACTGAGCAAGCCCAGCGGGCAGACATGTGATCACAACTAAGGAAAGTTTGCCATCCTGCCCAGTGCCATGACCAAGCAAGCAAACAGGAAAAATAAATGCTGAAAGAAAGAGAAAAAGAAGGACCAGAGAGAGAGAGAGAGAGAGAGAGTTCAGGGCTTACGCCTGCCTCACACGTGGCTGATCCTGATTCAATCCCTGGATCCCATATGACTCCCAAGCACTGCCAAGAGTGAAACCTGAGTGCAGAGCCAGGAGTGAACTCTGAGCGCAGTTGGCTGTGGCCTCAAAAACCAAACAGACAAGCAAAAAGAGACCCCTGCACAGTTCCCAGCATCCCTTGCAGCGAGGTGTGGTCACATGACTAAGCCATAGTCAATGAGATGTAAGCAAACTTGCCCTGTGGACTTTCCAGTGGTCACTGTGAATGGAAGGGAGACGCTTTGTTCCTTCTTGTTGTACCCCAGAGCAAGGAAGCCCCTCTAGCCATCTCCACTCAGACATGGCCTTGGAAACAGAAGGTGAAGCCTGAGGTCACACAGTTCGCACTGTTCTATCTCGGGCTGTGTTTTTTTGTTTGTTTGTTTTTTGTATTGGGGGTGTGGAATTCTGGTTTTGGTTTTTTCATCTATACCTGGTCATGCTCAGGGCTTGCTCTTGACTCTCTATTCAGGGATCACTGGGGGGCGGGGGAAGGCTCAGGGGACCATCTGCAGAACTGGGCATCAAACTTGGGTCGTCTGTGTGCGCGGCAAGCACCTTACCTCTTGAACTATCTCTCCAGTTCCTGTTTTGGTCTTGTTTGATTTGGATCATTTTTACGGATCACACCTTACAGTGTTCTGTGCTCCTCGTGGAGCCAAGGACCAAGCCTGGGCAACCCACAGGCAAAGCTGCTGGCATTCCCCCGGCCTGTTGATCTGTCTGGCCAGCCCTCCTGGGTTGCTTCCAGTTAGTCTGAGGCCTGTGGTCAGATCACTCCTGCAGTGCTGGGGACTGAGCCGGGGCCTCTGGAGAGAAGCATGCTCTCCAGCACACCAAGCTACTCTCCAGTCCCTCCAGGGTTATCTGACACGAAAACTAACAAACTGGGTTAGTCTGTTCAGCCAGCTCGAGCTGGGAGACTTAAACCTCTGTCAGTTAAGTGGCAATCACTTTTTCCTGGAATTGAAGTTGCTGTGAAGCGGTCCAAGGACCAGTGGGCTGGAAACCAGCTTAAATAGAAACTTCCTCACAATTGCAGGGTCCACGAGTCCACAACCAAGGCTCCACGGGCCTCTGGCTGTATCTGCCTCCAGTCTTCACCTGGTCATCCCTCTGTGCGCCCACGTCCCCATCTCCTCCTCCTCTTCTTTTTTTTTTGGGGGGGGGTCACACTCAGCAATGCACAAGGGTTACTCCTGGCTCTGCACTCAGGAATTACTCCTGGCGGTGCTCAAGGGACCATATGGGATGCTGGGAATCGAACCCGGGTCGGCCGCATGCAAGGAATACGCCCTACCCACTATATTATCGCTCCAGCCCCCCCCTTCTTAAGACAACATGCCAGTCTGATTGGTGAGGAACACCCCCTGACCTCATCCCCCTTCACTGCCTCTCCCAGGATTTCATCTCCAGGGCCCGAGTGATAGTATAGCATGTTAGGTACTTCCCTTACACACGGCTGACCCGGATTAGATCCCTGCTGTCCCATATGGTCCCCTGAATGGTGCCAGAAGTGATTCCTGAGTGCAGAGCCAGGAGTGAGTAACCCCTGAGCATCACTTGGTGAGACCCCAAAACAAAAAACCAAGATTCCATCTCCAAACCCAGTATGTCCTGGGGTCCTGAGGTCAGGAGGTGAAGATGTAAATGATGGGGTTGGCGTGGGGGGCACTGCTCAGCCCACCCCAGTGCTCGCTGCCTGCTCTGTGGGTAGCCCCCTGCGCTTCTTAAGCCTCAGTTTCTTCCAGGACCCAAGGGGCTTCCATGCTGAAGGTTGCTGTTGCCAATTTTTCTTTCTGAAATTTCCCTCTGGGGGCTGCTTTTCTGCTAAATTTAGGGCCAATCTGTCCCCAGTGTGAGCGTGGTGAGGAAGGGAGTGGGTGGACACCCTGAGTGATGGCTGCAGGCCTGCAGCGTCCCCTCCCCCTGCTTCCAGACCAACTCCCTTCCTCAGTCACCTTCTGAGCCTGCGGCATCCTGGCCGGGCTCTCCTCTGGCCGCTGACTCAATTCCCAGGATGCCTTTGGAGGAGCTCTGGACAGGCCTGTTCCCAAGTCTCAGGTCCGCAGCAGCCTCCTTGGTGGACTCAGAGAAGGAATATGAATCATTTGACACACTTAGTGCTTTGCATCACAAACTCAAGAACTCTCATCTCAAGGATAGAGAAACTTGGGTCTAGGGTGATAGGACAGCGGGTAGTGTTTGCTTGCATGCGGCTGACCCGGATTCAATCCCCAGCATCCCATATGGTCCCCCAGCACCGTCAGGAGTGATTCCTGAATGCAGAGCCAGGAGTGCATCGCTGGGTGTGAACCCCCTGTGCATCGCTGGGTGTGAACCCCCAACACCCCCCAAAAAATGATAGAGAAACTGAGTCAAATTCCTATATTTGGAGCTGGACCTGGATTTCTGCTTCTTAAGAACTTCTCTCTTCGTTTTCCAGCCATTTCCTCTGTCTCAAGTGGAATCCATAAACTGTGTTGGGGAGGGGGTTAGCACTGCTCTGTGGCCCTGTGGCCACTCTTGCCGGTACTTGGCTGATGGGTCCGGATGGGTCAGTGCTTGGGACCAAGGATGCAGCATTGTTTGGGCACAGTGGAGCTGGGGCGACCAGGACCACCCAGTGGAGCTTGAGGGTCTCCAGGGCTACACTCAGCAGTGCTTGGGGTGGAGGGCAGAGGGGTGGGAAAGGCCATGCAGGGCTGGGGATCAAAATTAGGGTCCTCATGACCCCTGAGCTATCTCCCCAATTCCCCAGTTGACTTTTTTTTTTTTTTGAGCCACATCCAGCAGTGCTCAAGGGCTACTCAGGGATCACTCCCAAAGGTACTTGAGGGACTATGCAGTTCAGGCATCCAGCCCAGGTCCTCTACGTGCAGAGCACGCACTCAGACTTTGTATTATCTCTTCAACTTTCCAAGGACTTTTCCCCTTTTTGGTGGTCCCGGGAATTCAAACCCAGAAGGGGCTCCACACAGACTGGGCAAGAGCTCCATGCGTGGGATCCGCTGAACTACACCCCAGTCCAGATGTTCCATTGACTTCGAAAAGAGTAGGTAAGTCAGCAGTTCAAGTTTTCAAAGGTAAACTAAAGCAGCTGGAGAGAGAGTTCAGAGGTTAATGCACTTCCCTTGCGTGGAACCAACCTGGATTTGATCCCAGCACCGCCAGGAGTAAGTCCTGAGCACCAACCACGGTGTGGCTCAAAAAACAAAAAAACAAACAAAAAAAATATTTCAAATATTAAAAAATATTTTTAAGAAAATAAAGTAAAAGCAAAATTACTAAAAAAAATGAGGGGGCCTAGCAGTGCTCAGGATTTACTCGTGGTTCTTGGCTTTGCACTCAGGGGTCACCCTGGCAGGTTCAGGAAGATCATATGGGGTGCCAGAGGGGGAACCCTGGTTGGCCTTATGCAAGGCAAGCACCCCACCTTCTGTACAGCTCCAGCTCCAACAAAAATAAGATCACGTTTGTCACTCCTGTTTTCCATTCTTTATACCCTGATCCCTTTGTGCTACTAATCACTTATTAGCTATTTTCCTAGCTTTTTTTAATGCAACTACAAATGAATTTTTATCTTTCCCTTTCCTCCCACATCTTACACAAAGGATGACTTTTTGCATTTTACAACTCACGTAAAAATCTTCATTGCAATACGAAAAACTTCCTCCATTTTTCATAGTAGCAAATATTTTGGCGCATGATCTCCAATTCATTTTATCGGTCCCCTAGTGATAGCCTCTTGGATTACTTCCAATCTTGTGAGAAAAGCAACACACACACACACACATTTATATCTTCTCTTTCTTCTTCCTTTTTGCTATTGTTGTGTGATGCTTTACTTCCAGTATCTGCACACATGCTTGAGCTGGTCATGCTCCCTGAGTTGTAGAGTTTGTGCATATTCTGGTTATCTTGATTCTTGGGGGTCATGGTGCTCACACACATCTCCCCAGGGGTCACTGAGGTGCTTACACAGTGCTCGCTCGCTGAGGCTCACACACATTCATCCACATTAAACAGCTCTGCAGTCTGATTGCCCAGAAGAGAAACTGCTGAAGGATAAACATGTCTGTAACTTCGAGAATGACAAGGGGCTGTGCAAACGTCCATAACCCACCAGAACACACACAAGAGCCTCTGCCTCTCCTGCCTTGGGAAGCTCAACAGAAAAATGACGAACCGAAGAAGAATCCTGGCAACTTGTATTACAGAAGACTTTTGGTCTAACATACAGAATTCTTAAAATCAACAAGGAAGGGCTGGGGAGATGATACGGTGGGTAGAACACTTGCCTTGTGCAAGACTGACCCGGGTTTGATCTCTGGCATGACGTATGGTCCCCCAAGCACTGCCAGGAGCGATCCCTGAGCATGGAACCAGGAGTAAGTCCTGAGCACTGCCGGGTGCAGCTCCAAAGTGAACAAAATCAACAAGGAAAAGAAAATCAGTGAACCAATAGAAAAACAGGTGAAACATAAAAAGAAGATATTCTCTAAAGAGAAACTTGTCCTAAATCTAGTCACCACATTAAGAGACATGGACAGCACAGATGCTGCCCGAGCCCATGTGCTGCTTGCGTCCACGTGGCTGACCACATGTGGTGCCTGAGCACATGTGTCGCCCGCATCTCCCCTCTTGAGATGTGTACTTTAGTGCTTTCATGTCTAATCCTGGGATGTGTTTAGGGGCCTCTCCGCCTTTGGAGAAGCCCGCATTCTCTCTTGAATGCATTACTCTCTCTCCCTCTCTCCCCCTGCCCTCTTCCCCTTCACACCTTCAAAAACCTCCAAATAAAATCTGTTTTACTTCAAAAAAAAAAAAAAGAGGCATGGACATCCTGACCATACTGGAAGGCTGACTTTTATTTTTGGTTGGGGGGTGGGCACACCCAACTGTACCTTAGTTACTCCTGGCTCTGCACTCAGAAATCACTCCTGACGATGATCAGGGGTGTCAGGGATGGAATCCCAGTTAACCACATGCAGGATAGTTTAGTGCTGTACTATCACTTCAACTCTCAAATCCAAACTCCTGTTGACTGGACACCCTGCTGCCCACCAGCTTCATCCCACCATGGCCTGACCCAGAGGGCTTGGGGCATCCTCCCGCCTGTGGTGGTGTAATTCAGGCCCCCCGGGCATTTCATATGTGCCCGCAGTGACACTGAGTGACCGGAGTGCAAGCCGGGCGACAGCCTGGGACAGGGTTGCAGGGAAGGAGCCAAAGCACAAAGACCTTCGGGGCAACAAAGAGGTTGCGTCTTCCCTGCAGACTTATCACATCTCAGACCTGCTGGCCACGTTGGCTCACCCTGCCACCATTTGGTCCTTTCCTAGTGTACAAGTGAAGCTGTATCAAGGTTGTCAGCTCTTATATGTCATTGGTATCACACACTTGACTGTAGCACCGTAGCACTGTCCTCCCGTTGTTCATCGATTTGCTCAAGCGGGCACCAGTAACGTCTCCATTGTGAGACTTGTTGTTACTGTTTTGGCATATTGAATATGCTATGAGGAGCTTGCCAGGCTTTGCCGCGTGGGTGAGATACTCTCAGTAGCTTGCCGGGCTCTCAGAGAGGGGCGGAGGAATCGAACCTGAGTCGACTGCATGCAAGGCAAACGCCCTACCCGCTGTGCTATTGCTCCAGTCTTATCTTCTTCCTATCACACACTTTAAAAAAAAATTCCATTTCTGTTTATTTGATTTGGATACTTTTGCTGTGCAGATTAAAAACATTACTGTGTGTATATGTGTGGAGGGTGTGGGGGGGTGTTAGTACAGCAGGTAGGGTGCTTGCCTTGCATGCCGCTCCCTGGCGTCACATAGAGTCCCCCAGGCACCACCAGGAGTGAGTCCAGAGTGCAGAGCTAGGAGAAAGCCCTGGGCATTGCCAGGAGTGGCCCAAAAACCAAATACAACAACAACATCATCATCATCATCATCATCATCATCATCACTGTCACTGTCCTCCCGTTGTTCATCAATTTTCTCAAGCAGGCCCAGTAACATCTCCATCGTGAGACTTGTTGTTACTGTGTTTGGCATATCGAGTACATCATGGGTAGCTTGCCAGACTCTGCCGTGCGGGTGAGATACTCTTGGTAGCTTGCCAGGCTCTCCAAGAGGGGCGGAGGAATCAAACCCAGCTCGACCGGGCTGGCTGCGTGCAAGGCAGATGCCTTACCCACTGTGCTATCGCTCCAGCCCAAAAATAATAATAATAATAATAATAATTTTTTCTAGTAAAATGTATTTCCAAACTTAGTTTATCCCCTAAAAAGGACCCGATTTTCCTATTGAAATTATATTTTAAAATGTACTTGCATTTTCTTCTAATTCTCCCAGAGTTTTATAAATTTAACTTTGGAATCTTTGATCCGTCCGGTTTCCAATGCTTCAAAGACTGAGGTAGCTATACTGCGAGGGAGGATCAAAGACTGTTGAATAGTCCATCTTCTCCTCGCTCATTTGAAATATCTGGGCCAGTTTTTTAACCCTCTGGGAACCCTGCCTTGCAATGCCAAGGCTGGGGTTCCCACTCTGCTCCCCCAGTCACCGGCTGTGGTAGACCCTGCCCATAGGGGGCACTGGAGTCCAACTTCCAGGCTGGAGGGAGAAGGACTCAGGATCCTGATACAGTGGCTCAGGGGCCACAGAAGTGGCCTGAGGGGCTCAGCCACGCTAGCACCACAGCCAAGCTCAGGAGCACCAGCTCTTCCTCCCAGAACTCTAACCCCACCTCTTCCTCTTCCGGTCAGAGAAAAAATGCTGGAACCCACCTCCCCTGCCCTCTGGAAACACCAAGAGGCCCCAGGAGCTGCTCACCCTGACCCACATCCAGCCAGCTGAGGCCTGCAACAGCTCCCAGGCCCACCAGACTCCCCTCTGCAAAGCCAAACCTTCCAAAAGGACCTCCCTGGCTCCCCCGTGGTTCCTGCACCCCACCACTGACCATGTTGGAAGGGCCACAGGGGCCCCTGGGAGCCAGCCCTGGGGCCACATGGCCTCCTGCCCTGCGCAGGGTCTCATGGCGGCGGCTCCCTCTGAGCTTCTGCTGCCAGAGCTGTGGAACCCAGGAGTCCTTCTTCTCAGACTGGTGGTCTTCAAGCACGATGGCCACTTAATACCTCTATTGCAAACCACAACACCCAAAGAGAGAGAGGGAGAGAGAGAGAGAGAAAGAGAGAGAGAGAGAGGGAACGCGCTGCCACAGAGGTGGGGTTGGGGGGATGGGGTGTGGGTGGTGGGAGGGGTGCTGGGACCATTGGTGGTGGAGAATGGGCATTGGTGGAGGGATGGGTATTTGATCATTGTATGACTGAAACGCAAGCACGAAAGTTTGTAAGTCTGTAACTGTACCTCACAGTGATTCACTAATTAAAATTAAAGATAAATAAATTTTAAAAAAAGACTGGTGGTTTTATCAGTGCTGACTGAGGTGGGGGAGAGCTGGTGAGTTCCCCATCCCCCTGGTTATTCACACAGCATGACCCTCAGCTCCCTCAGATTCGTCCTTCCAGTGTCCCCTGGGCACTGAGACCATCCGGGACCAGCCCTGGCTCCTTCCCTCTTCCTCGTTCCCCTTTTCTAGCACTTCCAGCATCCACTGGATCAATTCCTCTTACTCATTTCTTGTCTTCCCCTGCAGTGTGTAAGTCCCATGAGGAGGCAGGACTTTATGTCACAGGCTTTCTTCACAACAGACTCGCTCGTGTCCAAAACCATGCCCGGCACATAGTAGGCACTCAACACGTTTCTGTGGGACAAATGCATTTCTCCAGCTCCCTGGCGAGGTTAAATCTTGTTTTCATTCCCGTTTCTCAACTACAGACACAGAAGTGCATGAAGATGGAGTCTCCCCCACGCTGCACCCAGTGTCCACCAGAGAATATGCTTATTACAGCATTGTCTGCAGCGAAGGAATCCTGGAATCCAACTAATTTCCCATCACGAGGGGCGTGGATACGTGAATGACAGGACAAGGCTTTCTGTAATAGCCTATAAAAGCAACCTATAAACGCATCAAGCAGATCTTTATGTGCTTATTTGGATCCATCTCCAAAATCTTGATGAGTGAAATGGCAAAGTGAGTCACCTGTGTCCAGCTCCATGACCGGAGGCAGGACACGCCCGCACACAGGTGGAGACTCCCACATGCGTGCTCTAGAACGGACAGCTGCTGGCTACAGGCAGAGGAAGGACCTTTGTCCCTTTTCTGTATTGTTGGGATATTTAGATCATGTGCAAGGTTAATTTCTTTCAACAACAAAAATCTCCCACATAGCTTAAAATTAAAACTAGATTTAAAAATAAAAACTATTAAAAAAATTAAAATGAGCAACCTGTGGGTAGGGCACTTGCCTTGTACACGACCAGCCCGGGTTTGATCCCCCACCACCACATATGGTCCCCTGAGCTCTGTCAGGGCGGATTCCTGAATGCAGAGTCAGCCCTAAGCATCTCCAGGTCTGATCTCCAAAACCAAAGCAACAATAATAATTTAAAATATTCACACCCCCTCCCCTTTACAATTCAAATTTCCTGTAGGTCTCTTGCTAAAGGCAACGAGCTCACAGAGCTACTGATTTTGTTTGCCCACTGCTTTCTAAACCAGGTTTCTCAAACTTTAAGGAGTGTCTGAATCACCTGTAAATAGTTTCTGATTGAACAGTTCTGGGGTAGCTTCCAAGGTTTTGCATTTCTAGCAAGTTCCCAGTAATGCTGATGCTGAGGGCTCAGAGATCATTAATTGAATGGCATGCCAAGGTAGCTCTCTCTTTTATTTCCCCACCCCTGGTTTGGCTTCCTAGCATGGAAAATAAAAATTTGATTCTCTTCTGTTCTCACGCCCCCACCCCCCCCCCACACACACACACATTCTGCTCCCATCCTACCAAAATAATCCATATACTTTTGGGTTAAAATATTCTTTACTATTTATATTATTATGCTTTTGTGAATAATACAGCTTGGGCAAAAAAGTATACTAAGATTTTCTTTCTATGCAATTTTTTGTTTTTTCTGGAGTTGATTGTTGCTTTTTCCCCCCCAATTTGCCTTCATCAATGCATTCTCCAATCCTCCCGACAAAATTAAAAATCACTTCTTTTGGGGGTAGGGCACATGCCAGTGTTGCCTGAGGGCTACTCCTGGCATGATATTCAGGGGAACATATAGTGCTGGGGATCAAACCCAGGGCTCTCACATTGAAAATCACTTCTTGGTGAATTCAAACACAAATACTCTAAAATCTACATCTAAAAACTTATTGGTCACTCCGCCTGCACCAGATGAACCCCAGCAGCACTAAACCTCCAGTGACCAATCGCCTCCACCCTCACGAATGATCTTCACAGACTTGTCCTGGGGCCCCCACACAAGAGACTAAATCCTCTGAGAAAGAAAGTCAGGAATGCGGGACCAGTGACTCAAAGCACTAGGCCTCATGGGGTTGGGACTGGTCAATCCCTTCCCATCTCCCCGCCCTCCCAGAGTCCTGGCTGTCACGCCCACAAACTGCCTCTGGTTGTTTTTTAAGTCCTTTAAGGACCAACATCCAGAGACTCATATATGAATCTCGGAACTGAGCAGCTTGCAGCAGGGATGGCTCTGGACCCCAATTATTTACATTTTTATGATCCCAGGAGCACACAACCGCAAAGATGGCCACACAATATAATATACCCTTTTTGTTGTTGGTGGTGTTGGTGTTGAATTACTATGTGAGATAGACCCTTATAGACATCTTATACTATTCTTTTTTTTTTTTTTGGCTTTTTGGGTCACACCTGGTGATGCGCAGGGGTTAATCCTGGCTCTGCACTCAGTAATTACTCCTGGTGGTAACTCAGGGGACCATATGAGATACTGGGAATCAAACCCGGGTCAGTCACATGCAAGCAAATGCCCTACTCGCTGTGCTATTGCTCCAGCCCCATCTTATACTATTCTTAACAGGAAATCCAGAATAAATTATCTAGCATCTGCCTGTGGGGCAGACTTGAGTGGGAAACTTAGAAATACTGGTGGTGAGAAGATGTAATGGTGGTGGGATTGGTGCTGAAATAGCACAGCAGGTAGGGCGTTCGCCTTACACGCGGCCAACATGGCCGACCCGAGTTCGATTCCTCCGCCCCTCTCGGAGAGCCCGGCAAGCTACCGAGAGTATTCAATATGCCAGACACAGTAACAACAAAGTCTCCGATGGAGACGTTACTGGGCCCGCTCGAGCAAATCGACGATCAACGGGAGGGCCTTTTATGATAATGAAATTTAAAAAAATTTTTAAAAAAGTATTGATCACATATAGATTGATTCTACTTATTTTCTTAATTTAAAAGTTAACTAATGGGGCCAAAGAGATAGTACAGAGATTAAGCCAGCAGGAGGGGGGTGAGTCCAGTTCAAATCCCCAACCCCACCTGAGCACAGGGCCAGGGATAATCCCTGAGCATTGCCAGGTGTGAGCCCGAATCCCTCACTCAGGAAAAGGACAAGTGAATAGTACGTGACAAGCAACTGAGGAAAGAGTCCAGAGCCTCAAGAAGGTGCTGACCTTTGCCGCAGTGCCCTCCTCTCCCTTCTTCCTGTTAGTGACCCTCAGCCCTTGGCTGTCCCCAATTCCCTCCCACAGGGGGACCAGTAACTTGCTGACAAAATCTAAGTGGAAGTAAGGATCCCCCCACCCATCGCTCCATCCTTCCACCCGCCTGAGGACTAAAAGAGGGTTCGAGAAGCTTCTGCCAAGGGAACTTCTGGACTGTTCTGGACTGTTTTTCACTCTGTGATCTGAAGAGAAGTAAGATTCCACCTTGTGGTGAGGAAAACATGTACTGGAACCTAATGCAAGGCAGAACTTTCCCATGTCTTGCCAGCCACATCCTCCTTCTGGGAAGACACGGGCAGGCTTGCCAAACATTCACAAAATACTGATAAACATAATTCAAGGAAAACTTCTTCAAGGAAGCACATTTCCGGTCCTCACCACTGTCAGTCCTTCGTTCGGCTCTGAAGGGGCCGTGTCAGGCTCTTCTTGAGTCTAAGCAGTGTCAGGAGACCTGCTTGGGTCCCTGGGGCCTGAGGTCTCTGCTCTGGAGCACAGCACCATGACCCCCCAGGAGGGACCCCCTATGTCAGAGTGCAGTCTGACATAGGGGTCCACCCAGTGACCTCTGAGCCTGAGTTTGGAAAGGGAGCCTGGGTATCTGCTTGCCTCCCCCCTCAGACCACGCGCAGCTGAGTGTCTGGGCCAGAGTCTGGGCTATTCTCCAGTGAACCCAAAAACCCATCCAGCCTCAGGTGTGCCAAAGAGGAAGGAGTTTTGGCCGAACTTCTAGAGCCCTGGGGAGGAGCTGGAGAGGAGGTGGGACAGCTACCGGCCAGTGCAGACACGTCCACTCGCAGCAGCCTCCCAGCCAAACCACGGAGGGGGTGGTTTCTGTCGCTTTGGCTTTTGTTTTGTTTGGGGTTCGGGGCCACACCCAGGGGTGCTCAGGGCTGACTCCTGGTGGGGTTCAGGTGACCGTATGGGGTGCTGAGGATTGAACTTTTTATTTATTTATTTATTTATTGCATTTTGGGTCACACCTGGTGATGCTCAGGGGTTCCTCCTGGCTCTGCATCAGGAATTACTCCTGGTGGTGCTCAGGGGACCCTATGGGATGCTGGGAATCAAACCTGGGTTGGCCGCGTGCAAGGCAAACGCCCTACCCACTGTGTTATCGCTCCAGCCCTCGGATTAAGCTTCTAAGGGAAGCAGCTTAATACCTCAACTCTCTCCAGTCTTTTCCTTTTATTTTGTTTTGTTGGTTGCCCACTTTGGTTTTGGTTTGGCGATAACACCCAGGTATGTTTGGGGGCTCCCTCCAGTTCAGTGCTCAGGGGTCACTCCTGGTGATACTGGGGGGGAGCATGAAGTGCCAGGGATCCAACCCAGGGCTGCCACATGCACACACTCAGCTCATTAATCAATCTCTCATATGTGGGTACTTGGAACAAACCTCACCGGTGTGTCCCTTCCCGGGGAGAAAAGGGGGATGGGAAAGTGGCTGAAGGCCAGGGAGGGCTTCAGGGAGCAGGGAGAGCAGAGGGGAGAGGCGAGCTCACCCATCGGCCCACCCAGAAAAGAGGCTTCTCTGCAGGATCCCGGGTGAACGGCACGGATGGGAACCCAGGCCCCAGGGTGTGTGGGTGGGGGGCCAGGACAGATGAGGCTCTGGGGTATGTGTGGGTGTGCTGCCCCCCACCTGCAGAGCCGGGGTACAGCCAGGCTGGGACCCTGGAAGTTCCATGCTCCGGGAACAGACAGCAGGGTCATGCCAGGGTAGCGGGCTCAGGTTGCTCCCATCATAAAGGCCTGTTGTGGGGGCTGGAGCGATAGCACAGCGAAGAGGGAGAGGGCATTTGCCTTGCACGCGGCTGACCTGGGTTTGATCCCCAGCATCCCATGTGGTCCCCCGAGCACCATCAGGAGTAATTCCTGAGTGCATGAGCCAGGAATAAGCCCTGTGCATCACTGGGTGTGACCCAAAAAGCAAAATAAAATCAAAATAAAGGCGTGCTGTGTTCTGGAGCACAAAGAAACGCCAGAAACAGTATTAGGAAGGCAGTGGTGGAGCTAAAATGTTTACAGTTGCCTAATTAACAGTTTGAATGGGTGCACACACACACACACACACACACACACACACGGCTGAGGGAGGAAGGCTGCGGACTGAGAGGAGGATGCTGAATGCCCTGTGAGGGGTGAGGCCTCCATCCTGGCCTGTCGACTGTCTGTCAGACTGCACGGTCATAGAAGCTCCCTGGGGACAGGAGCCGTGGACAGCAGCTTCTCCCCACAGCTCGCCACTGCCCGTGGCGCCGGCAGGCACTGCCCAAGCCCCTTCTTTTCCAGGATGCCCCCTTAGGCCCCAAGCCCCCAGGCCGAGAGCCGTAGGGAGGACTCCAGCGCCACTGCCCCAACCCCAAAGCCAGGAGCTGCACCCCCGCAGGACCTCCCCTAGGGTCTGGGGGCCCAGATGTTCCAGCTGCCCCGGGCCTCAGGGGTGGAGCACGGGAGGGGGGAAAGGGAGAGGGAGAGGGGCCGCCTAGGCTGAGTCCCCACGTCCCACCCAGCCCGGAGCCCTGCCACCCAGCAAGACAGACAGCTTCACAGCCACCACAGAATTAAAACCCATTGATTTTGCCCATTAGCTGGGGAAGGCCATCAGAGTGCATTAAAGCCAGGCATTGCCCCAGAATCATGAATAATTAACATCCACAAATGACAACCCCAGGGGGCCAGGCAGGGACTGGGAGGGGCCACCCACTCCCACCTCAGGGGGCCAGAGCCCGCCTGGCAGCCTGGCCTCTCCCTCCCCTCCTCTGCCCCCCAGGAAGCCCCTCGAGGTGCGAGGTGCGTGGCCCAGGCTTTGCAGCAGAGTAACCACGAGAACCTGGGGCCACTGGGTGTTCCCCCAACCCCAGTCTGGGGGGCACCTTTGTGGCTATCAGATGAGAACCCTGCTTTTTGATAGAGCAATTCCCCACTGGGTCGACCCGTTGGAGAAAGGCCACGGGCTGCTATCACAGTTCCAAAGGTGCAAGGCTTGACTGGGCATCGACCTCACCCACCCTCTGCCAGACTTCAGCCCCTGCCCACCCTCTGCCAGGCTATCCTTGGGCAGTGCACATCCTAAGCAAGAGTACATGGCGACTTGTGCCCAGCCCTTACCTCATCCAGGCTACGGAGACCAAAGGCTGTCCTAGCCAGTGGGTTCGGCTCAAGAAATCTAGCCGTTTCCTTCAGAATGGCTCTACCCTCCCCTCTTTCCTTCAATTTCTGTTTCCAACCCCTCGCCCCCACCCAAAAACCCCTTCTCAGAGCCCTGGGAGGGCCAGAGGTGGACTGAGCACCTTCTAGTCGGGGGCCAGGTCACCATCTTCCTGGCTCATGGGTACCATCTGCTGGGGCCACCCCACCTCATGCCTCCCCTGGAAAATTCTGCTCTTCATGCATGAAAGCCATCCCCACTCCCCACAACCAGCTTCTCCTGCCCTCCAGCAAGGCTCTGGTTGCTGCCCCAGGACCTTTGTACCTGCTGCTTCCTGTTCCTGGCCCCTCCTCCCTCCAGATCTGCTCCTGCTGCTGCTGCACTAAGTTCCTAGCAAACCCTCCTTGGCGGTGGCCCGGGCGGCGTCATAGTGACTCCCCATCAGCCTCCCTCACATCCTCCGCTTCTTGCTTCCACTGTCTCTCCTTCGTTTACTAGGCCACTGTGCGGGTGCTTGTGGAACACGGCAGGGAAGGTGAGTGGGTCCCCAGGCCGTGGGGATTCCCCCCACACCCCACTCCCAGGCTGAGGCGGGGGCTGCACCCTCCCAGGGGGACTGCCGTAAATGTGTCACCAGCAAAGTCTCGGTTCCACCCCCAGAAGCCTCACCAGCTCGGCAGGCTGTGGGTGTCCCAGGCCGGGATCAGGGGGCGCCCAGAAAGTCAACCACCAGCTGAACTGGGGCCTGGACCAGAGGGCGCCTGGGGGGACAAGGGGGAGCCCAGGGGTGGACGTGAGTGCAAATATCCCCAGGCTGGTGTCCCAGGGGTGCTGCCTGGGACGCCCCAGCAGGTCCTGGCTGTGGGGCCACATGCAGCCTCCGGGGCCGGAATCGGCCCCACGGCCCCCGCAGGGGGCACCTGGAGGGGTCTGGGCGAAGACCCCATCCTGCCCCTCGTTTCCTGCAGCCCCCAGCGGCCCCGCCAAGCCTCCCGCACTCTGGCAGGGAAGGAGTTAACCTCCCGGCTTCTCAGCGTGAATGTGGAGCTATTAATACCCACCGCCAAGCCGGTCTGCCGCGCCGCCGCCGAGTCGGAGCGGCAGAGGGAGCCGGAGGCAGAGCCGGACCCCAGGGGCCAGCCCTTCTCCCGGGGCGCCTCACCTGCGCCCGCCGCCCTCCTGCCCGGGGTCCCCGCCCTCCCGGGGCCACCCCCGCCCGGCCCGCAAGGAGAACAAACTTTCTAAGGGGAACCTCCTCTGGCCCGGCCAGCCGACCCCGAGGAGCGAGTGGCCAGCCCCAGCAGACAGCTGCCCGCGCGACAGCAGCTGGACGGAGCGTCCACGGGCTGACCCCGCAGTTCCACTTCAAGGAGGGCAGAGACGGCAGCCGGCAGCCGCGGGGGGGACGAGGCTCCCGCAGGGACAACCGGCCCCAGTGAGCCGGCAGAGCCCGGGGCTGGAAGCCCCCGGCCCCCTGTGAGACCCCCGCAGGCCCACCAGCCGGAGCCCCCGGCTCTTCCCCCGCTGAGCAACGGGGAACCTAAGTGGAAAGACACAGGTGGCAGGTGGACAGGCGCGGGGCCCCGAGGCTCACAGGCTGCTGACCCTGGAGGGCCCGGGCTCGGGCACACCCTCCCAGGCCGAGGACCATGTGGCCGAGGTCACCGGCAGCCACCCCTGCCCCGTCCTGGAGCTGCCTCCAGCCTGGCCCCTGGGCTGTGGGGCCGAAGAGGTGCCAGCCTTCTGCTTCGTCTGCCTCCGCCGCGGGGAGGAGGAAGAACCCCTGCAGAGGTCAGTGTGGGGCAGCGGGCAGGGTGGGCTCTGGGTTCGCGACCCCCCGCCGGCCTGGAGCGCCTGCTTCTCCATCTCCGGTCACCACACTCTGCCCCGCGGACTCCCCCCAGAGCCTCCATCTCCCCCTCGGGGCCCAGCCGGACCTGCCGATCCCCTCCCTGTGCTCATGGACTTCTGCTCCAAGAGGGCCATTGCCTGGGCATTCAAGGCTGGTGTGATCGGGCAGTGCCCCACCTCCTTCATCTCACTCTGCTCCCCTGTATGTGCCAGGGAAAGGCTCAACGTTCCTTCCATCCAGGTTCCATTGAAATAGCTCCTCCTTCAGGAAGCCCTCCAGGAACTCTCTGCCCCACCTAGAGCTAAGGACTACCTTTCCCAGTAGCCTTACACTGATGCTTGATAGTATCTGTTGTCATAAGTTATAAGTTAAAATATCTCTGTGTGTGTGTGTGTGTGTGTGTGTCCGTGCAGGTGTACATGTGTGTAAGGCAGGAGGTTTGTATCTGTGTGGTTCTGGGGATTTGGGAATGAGTGTGTGTCTATGTACCTCTGTGTGTGAAGGACTGAAAGTTTGTGTGTCGGTGTTACTGGGCACTCGGGAGCGTGTGTGTGTGTGTTTGTGTGTGTGTGTGAGCCTGTGTGCTTGTGGAAGTGGGCTTGAGTCTCCGCAGCCGTGCGGGCAGCAGTCCACCTCCGCCCAGGTCGGGGTTCATGCCGTAGGGCCATTATCCCTCTGGCCTGCTCTCCCCACCCCCACCTGTAGGGAGATGGAAGCTCCCTCAAGTGCATTACCCAGTGGTGACCACAGACTCTGGGAAGGGACAGGAAATCTGACGGGAGCCAGGGGTCACCTCCACTGCAGCCCAGCAGCCTGAGTCAGCAGGCGTGGCCGGGATGGACAGGCAGGCCTAGGGGTCCAGGCCTGCACGGGGGGGTGGGGTGCGGCTCCTGCCCGGACCTGGGGCCTCCGACTCCTCAGCCCCGAGACGGGGTGCTGCCGGTGGGGGCCCGGCACCCACGGCCTCTGGGAGACACGAGCAAGCAGCTGCAGTTGGCAGAGAACGGGGTGCCCCGTGCCGGGCCGACCAGCCCTGCCAGCCTGGGTGAGCCCGGAGCCCGTCCCGGGCAAGCAGAGTGGCAGCAGCTGGGCCAGGGCAGAAGCTTCGAATTGGGGGGTTCGTGGACCGCATGGGCTACACCTCAGGGAACCCTACCCTCGGAGCCCAGGACCATGCTGGGGGGTTCGGGGACCCCGTTCCAGGAAACGCAAGACAGGAGACGGGGGGCTCCAGGTGTGGGGGCCGCTTCTTGGGGAAGGAAGGGGCTGCTCGAGCGTCACAGTCAAGGACTCCTGAGTGCCCGTCCCTTCCATAGGAGGCCCCCAGCTTGTCGCATGAACGCAGGTGACCCGGGAGGACAGACGCCAGATCCGTCTGACAATCCACTCCCTGCCCCGTCTGCCTGTGAGCAAACACAGCCCAGACCTGACTGGCCCGAGCCCAGATCCCTGCAGCCCTGTGGGAGATGGACCGTCCCATTCACCAGGCCTCAAAGTGAGAGCGGGTCAGACCCAGGAGGTCCTCTGCTTCCGCGGGGAGGGCGCCCCTCTGCCTGCTGCACCAGGGAGACAGCGCGTAGGCGCTGGCCCTTTAAGCCTGGGGCAGAGACTCCGCCAGGCTGGGCAGAGACAGTGACCACAGGTGCCAGGTGGTGAAGCTAAAAATATGGAGTGATGTGGACGTCCCGGCAGAGCTGGTGGGGAGAGTGGGAGGAAGGTGCTGGAACAGAGCAGAACTGCGGGGGTCACCTTGGGGCCCGCCCTCCACCCCCACCTCTCTCATCCTGTCTCCTGCTCCCACGGGTCACCCCCTACTCCTGAAGCTGGGGTGTCCCCATGCTGCCTGGGGCCGCTGTCTCTTCCCTCGGCACAATGCAAGAGCTGGGCTGGCACACGCACATTAGGGGCACGGAGGCAACGTGGAGCATCACGGGCGGCTTCACCGAACCTTCCAGGCCCTGGAGGTGAACACGGCGGGGCTCTCCCCTGGAGCCGTGGGCAGGAGGGTCCGGATGACGCCCCTCCAACAGCGAACGCCAGGCGCTGTGCCCCACGGCCGTGGCGGGTGGTTCTGAAACACACGCCTCTGCCCGGGTTGAAAATTTGTCAGCAAAAGCATCTCCTGGTGGTGCTCACTCAGTACCACCCACCAGGAGGGCGCTCTGGGTAGAAATTAAGGCGAAACCAGTTGTTGGAACAACTAAGTCCAAAAATAAGGACTCAGGAAAGCCCCGAAGCCAGCCGAGCTGAGCCACAGGTGTGAACCCCTGAGGAGCCTGAGCAGCCTGAACTGAAGGCCCCTCCCCAGCGAGGCAGGACCCTGTGGGCCCCCAGACCCCGCATTAGCCAGCAGATGCAGAAGAAAGGGGCGCGCATGGAGGTTTGCCTGGGGGCAAGGAGGCTCAGGGGCTGCCCCCCCACACACACAAGGGCGCTGGTGACCTAAAAGCGTTGGTGTCCGGAAGCCCGTGCGTGTGCGTTTGCATCCATTCATTCATTCGTTCATTCAGACGCCGTGGGCTGGGCCGGCCCTTGCTCTCCTGGTCAGGCTGCCACAGAGTGGGAGAAAGACACCCACGGCCACGAATCCCCCACTCAGCACAGGCCCGGAGCCTCAGCTAGGTCAGAGTCAGAGGCGGGCGCTGCCCTTTGCACAAAGGACACTTTCATCTAAGGCCAGCAAGGGGGTCTGAGCAATGTGGGGGTGCAAGATTCCAGCTAGGAAAACAGAGTGGGCAGGGACAGGCTAGAGGGTGGGAGGGGTAAGGCTTGTCACCCTCTCTGGAGCAGATCACGTGAAGGGAAGCGTGGGGGGGTGCAGAGGCTGAGACCCCAGTTGGCCCACCCCGGGGTGTTGGTCCCTGTGAGGAACTGAGTTTTGTGTAGATGGGTTAGGAAGCCTTGGGGGGCTTTGGAGGTGGAGTGATGGCTCACTGAGCCTGGGCAGCTGGGGAGACTCTGGGTGCTGGAAACAGATGTGGGCATGGTGCCTCCTGACACGGTGCCAGTGGCTCTTGGGGACTGTGCAAACGCTGGTCCCTCTGACCAGAGTCCCCCAGGTGGGCTGCACCAGCTGGGCACAGGCTCAGCGGAACAGGAAGGGGCAGTATCTCGGGTGCTGTGTGTATATGTGTGTGTGTGGGGGGGGGTTGCTTTTTGCTTGTTGCATGAGATGCTCAGTGGGCAGCACACAGTGGGTACTTGCAGCCAAGTCCCAGCACCCCAGAGGGTCCCCCGAGCTCGGCCACAGCTCACCCTGAAGGACAGTCAGGAGGAAGCCCTGAGCCCCGAGGGGTGTGGCCGCCCACCTGGAAGTTGCCCAGGGGGCACCAGTGCTGGTGGCTTGTTTTCCTTTTCCAGAAACAAGGCAGTGAGTTCGAGAGGCTGAGTGAGAGAAAGAGGGCGTGGGCTGTAGGGAGGGGGGTCTGGGTGAGGGGGCCAGATGGGCCCCAGGAAGGGAGATGTGGTGGGGACCATGTCCACGTGGGCACCCAAGGCTTCCCGGGGAGGCCCCGCTCACAGCCTCCCTTGGCGGGTGACGCTGTTGGTGACGTCAGTGCCAGAAGCCGGTGTGCCACGGGGCTGACAGGCTGCCAGCTGGAGGCAAGCGGCCAGCACCCCTCGGGCAAGGAGAATGGGCCAGACTGCGCAGGGAGAGGCGGGAAGGAGGCGATCAGATGTCTCTCGAGGAGGTGCAGGGGGTGAGGAGGGACCCTGGCTCAGGAGAGGCGGTGCACCCCCCTGGGAAGGCCGTGCCCCGCAGATGCCCCAAAGGTCGGAACTGCATTGCTTAAGATCCCCAAGAAATACAAACGAAAAAGATGGTGCAATGGGACGGGACAGCAGGAAAGCCGCCCAGCGTCGTAGGAGACTCACCCCACGTTCCATCCCCGCCCCCTCCGGAGCCCGGGGGAAACCCTGAGCACCCCCAGCTGTGCTCCAGAAACCGAGGGGCCAGCCAAGCGCCGTGCACACGTGGCGCTGCGGGGCCCTAACCACTGACCACACTTCTTGCAGCCCCGCACCAGGCACCTTCGCGCCTGAACCAGTCTCCCGCGCCCCGCCTGCAGCCACGCCCCTCCGAGGGGCTTCTGGGCCTGGGCTTTACTGACCAACCCCTCCCCAAAGCTCTCTGCAGCGCAGCGTGTTCCCTCCCCTGACCACAGGGCTACCTCCAAAGCCCCCCGCCACCGCCCGCAGGCGTCTTCAGCCCAGCAGGAAAACGCCCACCTGCACGGGGCTGGCCCGGACCTGGGAGCCCGACCTGGGAGCCGTCACGAGTGACACTTGCAACCAGCACCAGGGCTGGAGCCCTTAACACTGCCCCAGGGTCCGGGGGAGGAGGCAGCCCCCACTGGGACCCAGACACGCAGGGGGGCGCAGGAATCCCCCACCCCATCTGAAGGTGCTGGTGTTGCTGGCTAAGCCCCTCCGGACTTGGGGAGAAGCTGGGCCCCGATGGGGAGGCTGCTCCGCGCGACCCCCAGACTCTTGTCCCTGCCCTGCAGACAGAGACAGAGAAAGGACAAGGACGCTGGTCTCCGGCTAGGACACGGCAGAGAAGGGCCTCCGGACACCCTTGCGGCAAACTGGAACTCTGCCCTGGCCCTCCTAACCCTCAACCCAGCTCTGAATGGTCGTGTCGGCTCTTTCAGTTCCTCTTTGTTCGTTTTCGTTTTCTTCTTGCTTACTTTTTGTTTCCTCCATAATTGCTTTTTTTAAAAAAAAATTTTTTTTAAAGTTCTTTTGGGGCCACACCCTGTGTTGCTCTGGTCTACTCCTTGGACAGTGCTCAGAGATCCCTGAAGGGGCTGGGAATAGAACTCACGGCTTCTACCTGTGCTCAGGTCCCCCTTGCCCCCAAGTTACTTTTTTTTTTTAAATAAAGTATTAAGGCTCCGTGATTTCCATAGTTGTCACAGCTGAATCTCCGACGACA